ACACACAATAATATGTAATTACTTACATATTGTGGTAAATGATTGGCTATATGCGTAATAACAGAATGCATAGAATGAATGGAACGAAAAGTCACAGTACCCGCATTTGCTTGACAAACACCTAAACGGGAATTAATTGCTTCGCAAAGAAATGATTCATAAGCAACTGCTGTTTATCGGAGATTCAAAGTCAGCCTCAAGTCAGCCTGTGGTCCACTTTCACATTCGAAAATAACCATTCATCTATAACGCCAAAGAATACAAGAACACGTTACTGTGGACGATCACATAAAGTGATAGTAATCGTCTGAAAAATTTTCACTCATGTGCAAACATACGTCCCATCCTTTATTGTTGAAAGTTTTTCCGGATGTATTCAACATCCAAAACGACTCGTGATACACTTACATTTTATTTCACTAATCAACTCAGAAACAGTTTTTAAGCCAATTTGAGTTTGTCTGTCCCTTTCTCTAGCCGCTTCCCTTGATGTGATTCTTATTTATTGTCATGATAAAATACCCAAAATTATATCCTGTTTCCATGGGAGATCTCACCTAGCATGGCGCTTGAAACTTGAACTGAAACTGCTACAAATTTAGGAAAATTAATTTTCCTTCCAAAGATCTTCTTCACCGGGCATTTTTAAAAATTTGTCTTTATTGCCATATAAAGGCTTAGTCTTCACGGCAATCCTTATGTGTGGAAAGATCCGTAAAAAGGAATCATGTGCTCCGCATATTATATAGTCCATCTCTATAGACTATATTACAAATCCGGCATTGAAGCAGTTGTGCAGAAGTAGCTTCGAAATATTATCCCATCTGATCTAAGCCTTTTACATCAATTTAGCATATTAGGAAAATTATCGGTTAGCATTTCTGGTAGAGAATTTTTGAAAATCGCATATTATCGCTATTTGAAGACTGTTTCGCAATGAGCAATGAGTGGAAATGACTTGAGGAATCGGCCCTAGTAAATTCCAACACAATATGTCAAATATCCGCAAGAATAGCTGAACAGGTACGAATTGCGACTGCCAAGCCATTGCTCGCGGGCTCAAATCTCAGACCTGCAGTATTTACTTTCGCCGTAGCTATAGTGAATGTTCATTCGGTCTAGGCATAGCATTTGCCGATTGCGCACATCCTCACTTAGATGCGGTCACTGTCTAACGGGTACAGGGAGCATTCTCAAAAAAAAAAAAAAAAAAAAAAAATTGCAAGCTATAGCTTAAACACGAAGACATGAACAGGCACCGACTGACAGTCCAGCTTGAATCAATTTGGGAAATGTTTCGACATAACAGAAAGTGCATCGATTTTAAGTCCTTTTAAACGTGCGCCATATATCTCTACAAATTTAATATTCCAAGTACCACAAGCACGGTAGGGTATAACGAAAGAAAATAATTAGAATAAACCGCATGCTATGTAATTAATTTAAATCTCACAGAGAATGCAGTCTCGGGACTTTCCATCCCATGGAATATGCATATATATTTGACAAAATTAAATATGCCTGAGTATAGATATCTAAAGGTATAGTAGGGGTAACTAAATTGAATCATTTGCATACATTCTCACTATGTAATGCTAACACATAGACGCTATCATTTGTTATAGTTTTTTTTTATGATTTAAGTCTATTAAGCGACTAAAATGAGAAATTTTATTATTATGCGGGTGATTTGTTGATTTTCTCGTTTTATAAATTTTGCTTGGGCTCGGTTATAAATTGCATGCGAGTAGACCTAAGTCACGGTAATGATTAGTTAAATAGGTTTAATAAACTTTCACTGAAACCGAATTAATGAATGTTCTCATACACGTTCAATAAAATATACAGGCAAAGTAGACCTTATAGTTTTATCATTAGGGCAATAATGGCCGATGTTGTTGTCGATGAATGCACAATTTGCTACCATTTTGTTAATAATAACACTATTAAGCTGTAATAGTAAGAGTTTGTAATATTATGCGAGAATTGTGTTGATTTATTTATTCTGAAAGTTTCTCTAGGATATTATAATACTTATGTGGTATGTCAAGTCTAAATACGAATGGATCGAATTTCATAAACTTTAACTAACACTTTGTCCAGACATTTTATTGCTGACATTGGTTTATAACATTATGAATGCCTTTAATGCTGCAGGAGCTTAATCCTGTTATTTATTGGCAAGGGAGAGGCAATATCGTAAGCCGATCAGAGCAGTTTATAATGCATGATAATCTTCGGCTCCCGCCATACGCAAAACATTATGTTAGGTGGCGCCAATACGTTTTTGGCACCATTTGTTTACCTTGCGCTGCGATGATTTCCCATCTTACTATCAAATATGATGCCCCTTTCATCGATTTTTATCTATGTCTTCAAAGATTTCGTTTTAGCTCCACCAGCGATGCACAGATGGAAATTTGATTGATTCGATATTTGACGGTTATATGGATGTGCTGACCAAACGCTGACATTTCTTTTATATCGGAATGGTTTAAAAGCCTGCATTAATCAAATTTTAGATCATCAATTTTAGATAAACCGAGTTTATTGTTATAATCCCTGCCGAAGGATAGAAACATATTGAAAAAGCTTCCGGGACATTAAAAATATATGTTCTATGTTGTAGACATATGTTGTTCACTAGCATGGAAATTTGAATTGCATATCCGTCGGCCTGCCCGTACAATATTTGTGGTTAATATACTCCTGACCGCAAGTTTTAAAAACATCGCCTTGAAAACCCAAACTTTTTCCGTGATTGTTTCAGCATTAAAAATTGACCAAATTGTTAACACTTCCACATTAAGGCATAAACTGCGAAAGCCTCTTTTTTCGAAAGCCTGCTTTGTGCTTATGAACTACGACGATGAAAATTTGCTATTTGGTATACTCTCCAATTGTTCTCCCAGCACTTGTACAAAAGTACTTTCGCGATTGGTTTTCTTTTTTTCATTTACTTTGAAAATTAATTTAAGTTAAACTTAATGATTTTTTTCTTTTTATTTAGTTCTTCTATGCATTTTAATCCTGTATATGTCCAGAAAAGTCCTAAGAGAAACCCTTCACATACCTACTATATATAGTATCGAGCAATATTAGTATATATTACGAAACAGCCTCATTACCTAACTATTTTTAGAATTTTAAATATTTAGATAATTATTTCCTACTTGTATCTAATCAGATGATGGGATTATTACCTACATAGCTAATAATGTATTGAAGCAAAGATATAGAAAAAAAAAAACGTTAATAACAGTTAAAATTATCGAAGATAGATGGATAGATTTGTTAAAGCGCTTCTGCTCGCCCGTCATAATAGTTTCATTAGTTTTCATATCGTTTTCTCTGACCTTTGATGCAGTCAATGAAATCGTGATTTATATAATTTATAGTTTAGAAAGCAATTTTTCCTTACTTTATGATAATACGGGAATTTTTTAAAATTAAAAATTAATTATTATATCCTACCATGTCAATATTACGTAAAGTTTATCATACCATATGTCGCGACAATTAAAGCTGATCAGGCAGACCAATAAATCAAAGTAGCCTTGTTCATCTGCTCATTAATGCATTTGTTTTTGTGAAATTCTTAAGGTCATTGAAATTGATTTCAAAAAATACTTGACGTTAACACTCTTACATACCGTCAGCAAATGAAATATTGAGATAATTAGCCGTCGAAATGTTGAAATAATCTCGACAAGTACACCGGAATGTTAAATATATCTTCTAGAGCAAATTGCAATTTGTGTCTAATGTTGATGCGAAGCTCGCTTGTTTACTTCTCCTTTAATTTGCCAGAATTCGAAGTTCGCTTCGCGTTATTTATCAAAGCGGTTAGTAGTAACGTGACTTCTAAACATATATCTTCCACAACGCGATTGTTATTAACATCAAAAGTCGTGACGGGTAGTGTTAAGCAATTAATGCAATTTTTATATCATTTGCCTGAGAGCGAACTTTCAATACCTATCATTTCAAGTAAATACAGAGAAATGAGTCATCTTTCTATTACTTTTCACTCTGTCGAAGTACGGCTTTAAAGCTTCCACTCGGTATATGAATTTTCCTATCAATTTTTGAATTGATTGGATTGAAGTGTACTTAAACTAGACTAAACTGCGTTTAATGCTATGTCAAAATATTTGATATTTCTCTTTTTTTAAGTTGGAAGTGCTCCGCTCCAGGCTTCAGGGCAGATGCTTACATCTACACGTAAAACATATAATAAAAGCTAGATATTGTGATGAGATGACTTTGAAAAGCAACCACATGGAGATTCATCTATGAAACAGAATTCATGCAAGTTATTGTGGGCTGCAGAGCAAAATGATTTTGGAATCTAGTCCAAAATGAGATTTCCCACATTAGCTTTACTCTAACGGCCACAATACTAACGATCAATTTTGAAAATAGAGATATGGCCGCCACAAACAGATTTAGTGCTAAGAAAAGCCATTGTCTATTAAAAACTGTACATAATATTAAGCTAAAATTTTAATTATCTAAGCATTCAGTAAATAAATGACCCTAATAGACGAACAGACACACTTACGTGGAATAAGAAATCTAAAGTACTTTGCGATGGTAATCTCAATAACAAATTTCCGAAAATATATAAAATCTTTTAAGATGAGTATATGTTATAAAAGAGAATACGAGGAATTCGCGCATTTCTTGTTTCTTCCGTAAACAACACTCACACATACACACATCCATGCAGATGAAAACACGATGCAAGATAATTACCGTAAAGTGCAATAAATTAAATATATTTATTTACTTTAAAATTTACACGTCTCTCTTGGAGAATTTAGAAAATAAAAAAAAAAATTAAAAATAAATCTAAAGAACGTGATGTAGAAAATATAAAAAACAATTCGCCAAAGCAATTAAAGCAACGTATAATATACGTGGAACAACAACAAAGCACTTAAAAATATATTATAGACATATTCTTTTGAATGATTAAATCAAGCACACACACGCACACACATTACCGTCACGTCAAACTATTCTTAAATTTCACAATCCAGTAACAAAACATAAATTTTTTAAATTTGAATTAAAATTTCATTCCCTTTTCGCCTTGACAATTTTCGCGTTCCTTAAGAGAAACATACAGGTTTATTACGATATCATTATATTGACGCTTTTCAACTAAACCGTTGCGTATAAATTCTGTTTGATTTTATATCCATTCGCTGATACTTACTGTCTCTGTCCATTTAGCCTTTTGCCTTAGTTAGGCCAGCATAGACTCAACCAAAAACAAAATAAATATAAAAAATAAAAATAAAATTAAATAAATAAATATAAATAAACGAGCCAAACTAAGCGAGAGAATGAGAGGAGACGCACCAATTGAGGCATACCAAAATACAAACATATGCAGATACATTTATGTAAAAAACGGAGAAGAATAATATCGAACAGTAAAAGATCTCTCTTACTAGCCCCCGCCTCCCCCTCCCCCCAACCCCCTCGCATCGTTAAATCATGTGGGCATAAACAAAGTGAATAGAAGAAGATCAGCGCAGAGTGATTTTTTCACTTATGCATAAATATATGTGAAAAAAAATATATGCATATCTAAATATATGTAGAAGCATGGACATGCTAGTAGTCTTCCCTTCTATGCTCACGCATAAACAACATTAACTTAGGTAATGCTTATTTAGCGTTTTCATAGAAGAGACTACAAGGGAATATAAATAAAATTCTATATTCTGTATATGGTTTAAGTGAAACGAGAATTATTCCCTTTTTTTCTTACCTCTCGATGTCTATAAACACTCTACAGCAGAAGAAGAGAGCAATCCATCTCTGCAGTGAAATACGTAGGTTCCTTGCGATCAGTTGTTTATGGCCCATTTTATAGCCGATTTTCGATGGACATTCTGAAGCAACAAAAAATTTGTACATGTACATATGCAAACATGTTTACTACAATTTCCTTGATCAGTATTTCGTGGAACAGTTCCGAAAAATAAACCATAAGTTAATGCTTGAGGAGAATATTCTACAAGCTTGGCTTTTTCGCGGTCAGTGACAGAGCCGTGGGTTTTGATAACATCTTTTAAAGAAAAATTTAATTTGAAGAAGAAGCATATTGGAAGAATCGAATAAGACGGTGGCACCCGCCGAAGAACTGGCGAGTTGGAAAGTGTAGTAACAAAGTAGTTAGATAAGTGATAATTTAGTAATCTAAACGTAGTACATGCGTGTCGGCAAACATGCTGCTGAGTTGGAAAATATTCGCAACAAAGTAAGACAACTGAACAGTTGACTAATTAAATACTGTGTGAATGCAATTGGTAGCTCAATGGGATATAATAGAAGACTAGAGGAGTATTCTATGAAATTATTTCCTTTTACAAGTTATATAACACATATCACTTGACAATCCAAAAGTTTTAAAATTGACAACGTAGATAGTTAAAGGGTTATCCAATTCGGCAACTGTGGTTGAGTAACATGTGTAAGACAGAAGTGCCGTCTAAGCCATTTTACAATATCGATCGTGCGGTGATGAGACTCATTTTATCGCTTACTAGATATGTCAACAAGCAGAAATTTCGTATCTGCGGCAGTAAAAATCAGGTAAGTACGCGTTGCATTCTCAAAAAGTTACCGTATGATGAGGTATTAAGTCTGGAGACGGTGGACGAAGGTGTGGTTCAAACCGTTAATCCTGATCATCCCAGCCACATGATTAGTATATTTTCTTGGCATGAAATTGAAGATATGCGGGTTCAAATAGATGATGGTGTCTTAAGCTGTACGACACGTCTCCTTGCGGCATTGTTGCCTGATAAATATTCCGGACAAATAATTTCACATTTTTGTTAAGGGAGGGAATTAAGGTCCTGCCAAAAAGCAATATAATAGCAAGCAGCCTCCTCGTAGTAATATCTAACGACGTTCCCGGGGAGGAAAATGGTTGAAAAAGTGTGTGTGAGGAGCGTAGTTTCAATGTCTAGGCCCCAAGTGTCACGAGTCACGTATGCTGCTAAGACGGGCCAGCAGTATCTTTTAAAAACGGCCCGCCTTTAACCGATGGGCCCCTTTTCTTTTGTAAGATCAGATGAAAGTTCGAGTTTATGTAAACAATCCCTGCATTGAAACCGAACAGCCGTCAAGTTAGGGCAAATCCACCTATCCGCTATGTATAGACAAGTCACCGGAAATTATCTCAAAACAATCCAATCATATAAGATATAGAACCGAAGACATTAGAACAATGATGTTGACAAGTAAAATTTGATCCAAATCTCAATCAGAAATGAACTATATTTGCGTATACTCGCGGAGTCACAAAATCTATAACCCGGTATTAATCAATAACCAACAAAAGTGAAAACTTATAGAACCAAAAAAAAAGAAAATTGCTTCGTTTTTTAGTCTACTGATGACACTCAAATGAAAGATGAACTGTTCGTCACCAGCTTGGGTGGTCTGAGAGTAAAGCTTATTAATGTCCTAATAGAAATGCGTACACATGCTTGTTACACTTATATATTTTTTGTGTATTCTGTAATGTATTCACTGTGAACCATACTCTCTCTGTCCATTCACAAATGAGACATCTATGTAATACGATGTGTGTAGTAAGACATCAGTTCAGTAGTCGTACGTATACTACATAAATTGACCGGATGCATATAATTGTTTATGGAACTATGTCTGCTCCTCTTCTTTCTTTCTTTTTTTTTTATTTTTGTATTTTTTCGCTATAGTTTCTTTCTTTCTTTTTTTTGTTTATCTGATGATGACTTTGAGAAAAAAAAAAAAAGTTTCTTAAAGTATTCGTATCTCATAAATTTTAGTAAACTTGCTTGTTTTTGGTTTTACGTTTTAATATGTAAAAAAAAACATCAAAAGAATTAATTTTATTCACACGTTATTGTTACTTTGGCCGTTAAACCGGATCTTTTGTTTGCTTCGATTCTTTTCACTTATCGCTTATATTATTTGTAAAACTTGAAGAATAACAATTTAATTCCAATTCTTAAATGAAAAAGTAAAAATCAATTTTATTCGAGAATGAAAGTTCAAGGTTGCGCCCCCCAAAAGTATAGAAAGTTCTCTATACGCGTAGTACCTATCACTACATGCCGAGCATATAAATTTTTATATACAATTGATCCTCAACACGTAATCACGTCATCGAATTTATGGTCAATTAATTTTTGACACACTTATATTACACGTTAATAACATCAACATCAATTTGAAAGTTATTCACGCCATCATCATTACATTGATTTGCTCAACGTAAAGCTCAATACAATGATTTCATATTTCGTTAATTAACTGTGAAAATGAAAGGAAATGAATACATATACGCCTATATTTATATATAGACACGTACGTCGTAATACATCATCAATTTGTAAAGCGTTCGAATAATAACACGTAACCGTATTAAAGTGGCCTCAAGCCGAACCTTGAATACGCATCACTTTATCGCTTTCTCTTCACTATGAATGCTAAAGAAAGTGCAAGCGGCTCTAAGCATAAATTCCGAGTTCAAAGCATGTTAGAAATGTTCATCGATATTGAAGAATTATTATTAAATTTTTACTCTCTAGGCCTATTGCCGAGGAAACGAGGTATACTGGATTTGTCTTGATTAGCGCGTTTAGAACTATGCATGCATCCTCGGAGTCATAAAATACATTTTCATCATTAGCGTAAAAATTTCTACCGCATTAACCGATGTCCGTCCATCCGTCCTCCATAAGGTTTTTTCGTTGAGATGTTGTCGAAAATTGCACTAGAAGAATGAAACTTAAAGCAAATGTTATAAGTCTATTACTTCGCAAAAATCGCGAACGTGGCCACGATGCGTCCTCTATGCAAACTCCACGGTAATTAAGACTTGGAAATTCATATTCATCTACTACTACACACTAACTATAATTTTTATTGGAGACAAAAAATTTCAATGGCAATTACATCCTGACACGCCTCCAATTCACAAGTTGGCAAACTTTTCGTCAGTGAAGTGAGTCTATGTTCTTCTCATGAACTTTAGATCTACACATGTGATCGGTAATTGGACACCATCTTCATACAAACCAAAAAACGGTCCACTTATCGAGGTGGGATGGATATTAACTCAAGGTGCTTATATATATGAATCTGTTTTTCATCATGCAATCGTGGAAGATTTATTATAATTGCAATGTTCCTGCATGAGAACAAGTCCAAGCAAAGACGGACAGAAGGGGTATTGGGGGAATGGGGAAATCAGCTAGCCCGGTTAATAGCCAAAATCGGTACTTCCCACGTAATTCGGTTAAATATTTGCATAAGTAATAAATGAAAGGACAAATTTATTGTGCCAGTCATTCGCCTCTGGTGAAATCATATAAAATATTATTCACCTAATTTTTATTTTCTTCCTAAGAATTTCTACTTCGTTGAACTTAGCGCCACCTTCGCATAATTATTTATAGTAAATTTGTGACAATTTAAAAATAAAACCCACACGGCTGACGTAGAAATTTAATTTTATGACAATTTTATTTTAGTTTATTTTTGTAAAATTTATTGCCCAGAAGATTTTAATTTTAATAAGCAATTCATGGTAAACGTTTGAAAAAGAGAAAATGTTTGCATTTTTCGGGGAAACATGAATAACATTTAAAATAATAAAGTAATTACAACCAAAAAAAAAAAAATTATATTCGGCTACTGCCGAATTTTTTTATGTCCATCTCAGTTATTCTAAAAGACTCAAAGAGAGGAAGAAAGCCACATTTTCATACCTTATAACATTGGGTACGCTTGGCTGATTTTTTCTACTTTTGTATAATAAAAACATATTTTTATATCATTTGGCTGAAGTAGGTTTTTTTCAATTTTGTAATGACCGCAATTAACAGCCAGGTGACGGACGGACAAATATGTCTGAAACGATTCACATTCGATCGCAATCGATAATATATGCGCTTTAGACATCTTTTTTCTGGGTGTTGCAAACATTATGACAAAAAGAATGAAATTTTAATATTCTCTAGCTTTGAATAGGAGGGACCGATTATCCGCATTTATATACAAGGATCGCGCATAGAATATAAATGCAAGCTATGATCTGTTCGGTCTATAAGCAATGAGCAGAAAACCATTTTTTTTGTTTTCGAAAACAAAGTCAGTCTCAAGTTATGTTGCACTGTTGGTATATCCTTGGACCAGTATATCCTAA